AAGCTGATGAATGATGTCTTAGGCAAGAACATGTTGCCTGTAAAGAAGAAATCCTTCTGAAGCCACATGCTAAGCCATGTTCAAATGAAGGATGCACTCCCCCTCCATATCTCGGATATAGATTTTATGTTTGATATTTTCACTGCAATGGCAAATATTTATGTGCTTGGAACTCTATTATCGTAGAGCTCATGCTGCACCTATTCACTCGTTTCCCACGCCGATTCAGCTTTTGTGTAGCATAGACTTTTGTGGATTGGTCGACATTGAAGCCCCGACCTGCATTTAACTTTTTGGGTTTTGTTATTTCCGCGGTGTCCAAAAGTGCATAAGAGTACGAGTCAAAGTCTTCACCGTTGAATCATCCTTTGTGGGATGCGGCACGCATTCTACTTCCATTCAGAATCGTAGTGGCTTATTGAATGCGATGTGGCCTATACAATGACTTGCGGTGGCCAGATACAAGTCAGTGTTTTATCCTCCCAGACGAATCTGGTACCAATTTACCGTCCCCGGAGGGTAGAAGGCTTGGTTGGCCTGGGCGGGAGTCGACCCGGGATTCGAACCCAGGACCGCGCGAGTGGTAAGCGCGCCACTCGCTACACCACCTCCCTCCCAAAAGTGCAACTTGTTGTAATCCGATGATAGGCTTCTTCATGGTCCAAGGCATTGCCCGGTTGAAAGCAATGCCTTTTTTGATGATTCCATAGATCTTCTTGAAATGAGAGCGCGACTTTCTTAATGACGTACCGTAAGAGACATTAGTATGACTCCCGCCTTTCGTTTCTTTTGAACGAGGAGCGGAAGTTACACTCCTTATCCCTGAGCCAGAGTAGGCGTGGCACGGAACTGGTTACTCGTGGAATATTCCAGTCTGGGACAACTGTCATCTTGTTCTGTGTTGGACAGAGACACGACAACAATTGTGTCAAGATGAAAATATCTCACCAGAAGCATAGACACCTTCAGGTTAAGTTGAAGCATGCGGCCACGCCTACCCGATCTCAGGGATTTCGAGTATATCTTGAGAACAACCCGAATGGTACGGAAAGTTACATCTACAGGAAACGTGTAACATTGATTGTAGGAAGTAGATATGGATATAACGCGGAATGAAATCGAAGTTTCTTGGGTGAACTTAAAACTACCCAAAATGTCATGCCTGCAATTGTCATTCCTGGGAAATGAGTAGGCGTTATTGGTTGTAATCGGTGAGCCGGCAAACGACATCCAAAACTTCATTTACAGCTGATTACACATGTGCACGAAATAGTGAAATGGAGCATAGTACACAACACGCCTGTAGACAAAGCACACTATGACGCAGAGGAAGGTATTTCAAAGTAACGACCCCCTTCCCCCCCTCCCCCAACAGCCGACAAGAGAACAAGAGGAGACAACTCCGATCAAATATGTAGTAAGGATTGTTGTCACGCCGAAGCTCCTACTGGAGGCGGCGAGGAAGTGTACAACGAGCCTATAACGCGGGGGAAAATAAGAATCAAAGAAAACATATTGCTAAGTAATTACGATCCCTTCTCCTTCCGGTAGCTAAGACTCAGCCCCTCCTCCGCTAGTTAGCAGTTGGAAATCCCGAGCGTGCGGTTTGTGGCTGTCCCTGTCATGGTGGGGCTGTTATTCGTGCCATTCTTACGTCTCCCCTAAAGCGGAATGGTCCGCGATAAGGAGCTAGTGTAAGTATGTGCGTGTGAATAGTGGAGAAGTGTGTCAAAGTTGCTCGTGAAAAGAAATGCCAAAGCAAACGTCGGCAGTGCCTTCAATAAGACCTTTTAGCCTCAAACAACATCAACAACAACAACAACAACTGTACGTGTAAAAGGCCCAAAGACCGAGTGTTGGAGCAAGTCCAGTCCGCTGATTCCTTGTGTGAGCCCTACGACATCGTAGGAGACAGTAGAGTATCCACTTCATGCTACTTGTCCGATTGCACCTCCTTTGGCTGGAAAACAAACCCTGAAGGCGGAGTATGGAGGCGGAGTCACTGGAAGGAGGAGGTGCTAGTGGAGCGACTTTGCGCCTCAGCTCCTTTATCTTACAATTTTCCTTTGCCAGACCGGCGCAGCGTTGTCCGTTGCGGATACACAACCCTTCCCACACAATTTTTTTTTGCGTTTCCATAGGTCATCGCCGACTATTTCTTGAGTATTTCCTAAAAGTTCTTGGATATTGAGATTTTTCAGTTTCTAAGTGTCAGTGTTGTGTTCGGAGGTGTATCGTATAAGCCGCAGTATTTAGGGAAGCATTCCACTTACAACCTGACTTCATCTCTACCAGGTGTGATTCAGCTCCTCCGCTTTCAAACCTAGGGGCTGGCTATTTCTCGAGTTAAATGATGCTGTTGAAGAGATACTTTGGACTTCATTGTCTGGAGTCCCACAATTGGATCTTTGAGTCACTCCTAGTCTCAGAAGGCGCCCTGTGGCGACTACGTGACCGGAATTGACAAATAGCTTTTGTTGCCCGGGACTGTGGGGCGGGGTCCACTCCGATCCCGAGTTTTATTGCATTCAACGATTATCGATAGGCTGCCATTATGCATGTTAAAATCGATAGATCCGCTCGTTCACTTTGTGTTGTTGTTAATGGGTAGGCAGCCTGTCAGCATTGTCGTTGTCGTCGTTACTATTAATGGTTACTGCATCAATTACCGCCTCTAACTCACCTCCTCGTTTTCACTCAATGTGACGACGTCGCATAAGAAACAGCCTTCATTAACGTCATTTTCCCCTTCCTTTTTTCGAGAATAGTCACATTATTCGTGATTGTTTTCAGTTTGCTAACTGGCATTTTATTAATGCCTGCCTTTCAAATTTTCTTTTTACATTTTTTTAAATCGTTCTATGATACACGTACATTCGTCATAATCAGCTGATTCGGTTGCTCTAGCCGATATTTCTAAGGAAGCTCAGAAAGGAGAAAAACGTCGTGCACAACGGTGCTTGGCACTGCATACCAAGCTCAAACTTAAGCACAGAACATACCCAACGGCTCTTCAGACGTCTAGTTAAGGTTGGTTTTTCCCTTTCTCAAATATTCTAGGAATCACCGAATTCGTGGTTTAATCGTGTCCAAAGTGAAGTATACCGACGAAGAAGGTGAAGTAAGAGTAGCGGACTGAGCCCTCATACGGAGATCGTAAGGTACCGTCTTTTTCGCTGCGGATGTTGGGGCGTGTCAGGGGAACTGGGTCAACCCGGTTTCGTCCAATCGCTCTCGCTAACCTCTTCAACATTCGATGGAGAACAGACTGGCACTACGCCAGACAGCGTGTGTCAGCATTGGTGATTCCCCAACAGGGGGTCGTATATGGTCGCTGGGGTGAGAGGGGTCGTTTTCGTTCTCTGGGTGAGGGGGATGGGTCGTATTTGGTCTGTGAACATTTTTTTGATACATGATTTTTCTAGTTTCTTGGACGCTAATAAGGGGAGGAGGGTCGTAGTGTCCTTAAGAGAAATTTGCGGCGTTGGGACGTTGAGGAAATCTCTTCTCTGTTGTTGACGTTTCGCAATTTTTCCTGTTTCGCAGGTGCTGTATACCCCCGCTCTGACAGCAAATTGTGAAATTTTGAGGAAAAAGTGGTTAAGTTTTGGAAAAAAAACTGGGAAAAGTGGTGGAGGTTGGGAAAATCCAAGGAACTGGTAGGTAGTAAGGAGATGGGGTCGTGTTTTCCTCGCCGTTTTCCCCGTTTCACATGTGCAGTATAGCACCTCCCTTTCGGTCGAACCTCGACATTTCGATCGTATCAGAGGAGGGATTGAGGGGCGGGGTGGTATCAAGCCACTCCCCAGGGGTGGGGATCGTACGGACTCGACCGAAATCCCCAACCAATAATGTGCTCTGACGCCATACCCAGCTCCACTGACACGCCCCAGCGTCCGCAGCGAACAAGGCCGTAAAGTTCTCCAAGAGAAGGATTTTAGCATAGGGGCCTACGACTCCTAACTGGTCCTGAACATGATTTGTTGACACCCACCTTTATACTGGAAGGTATGAAACGTACTTGTTGGTCATCCCCGTTTTGGGATGCACTCAAGCTCAGTTCAGCATTTTATTGGAACTCGAATGCGTTCCTGGCTCATACGAACTCTCGATGGTCCAATGCAATTACAGTATATACAGTAGTTCTCCCGGAGGAGTCCTAAACAAATTGACCGGCCTTGAGGGAGGAGTGGAAGGTAAGGAGCCGCTCGGATGCTCCTTTGGCCCAGAATTGCAAATTGATGTAATATTCCCTTCCCTTGACCATAAAAAATTCATTTACCTACCTCCTGCACTTCCTTTAGCGCCCCCTTTCCTTCCTATTCAGAGTAATGTTGGAAGAAGTCAGAGGGAGTTTGGGAGCTCGAGCGAGCTCGTTTTCCTTGAACTTCTCGGAGCAGAAGCTCTAATTACATTGCGATCTCCGTTCCCCGGTCCAGAGAGGTGGTGGCCGGCGGCGCTATTGGCTTTACTAGGTAACTGCAATAGAGTTCTTTTTGCCGAAGTGAAAGCATCTTTTTTGCCTCGAGTACATATTCACTACCCAGGCGATAATAAGCTAATTTTCCATTCCCGGGAACTCTCGGCGATGCTCTGAATGGGACGTAACGAAGTATCGGGAGAAGGCGGGGGAGATTTAGTTCGAGAACAACGCGCTCATGGACGGATTAGACTCCGATGTTCCGTTAGCGTCATCATAACGAAGCTTCAGAGCACCCATTTCGATAGACCACCACCAAAAAATGTGCCACCTAGGGTGGGACCCTTCCAGGAGGGCGATGGAAGCTGCCTATTGAATCAAGGCGAAACTTTTACTCCCCGCGAGCCCTTGCCGCGCCTGGGAGACCAGGGCCACAGCCAGGCTAACTGGCCTATATCGTTTGATCTGAATGCGTCTGAAAGTGATTTGAAGGATATTCTGGGATGACGTCAATGAAGTCAGCTGTTGCAGGCTCTCGCTGCTTGGCATCGATCGCCACGCCCTATTTGGCGCATACGGGATGCGGCGCGCGCTGCTTGCGGCCGTCCTCATAGCGACCACCCACGCAGCCGTCTTTACCGGTAAGTTACCTGTTATCATCTTATCCTTCAGAACTCCACCAGTATGTCCTTCCAATGTGTCGGACCTAGAAATGGCTCAGTTCATCTCATTTGACGTTATCAGTCAGTTAATCTTGGTGCTTAGTGTTTCCGTTACTGCATAGTTCTTTGGCAATTGTTCTGCTGTCTTTGCTTTATCAGGCCATCGTTTTTGGTCCTTGTCCTGCTCAGGACGTGACGAATTCCTGAAATTTATCGAGCTATGCTTTCATTTGGTCTGCCAAGATTTCTCAGTGTTAGTTAATTGTGTTAGCGTCGCTCGTCGTTTCTCACCAGCCGCCATCCTCTTATCGTCTACGAGCTATTGCTTGGTAATTTACACGATAAGGCACTATCATAACAGCAGTTTCGACCCTCTTACGTCATTGCATAGCATCAGGTTCCGCTCACTAACTTGTGCGCCACATTTGTCACTCGATGTTAGCAAGTCTTTTTGATGAGGGACAACGACGTCGGCGCTCTCACTAGCCTCGAGCTATACTGAAAAAAAGTGAGCGCACACGCAAACAACAAGTCTCACATGCACATAGTATAATTGAGTGTGATAAAGGATTCAAAGGGATATGACAATTTAGCCCTGGCGCTCTAGAACCCCCACAAGTGAGCGTCCAGGAGTGTCCAGGAGCCATCACTAGTCTTCTTGTTCTTCTTTTGAAATCCATTAAGGAAGCTTTTAAGCAGCACATCGATTCTTTTGCCTGAGTGTTTTGGCTGATGTAACTGAGCTGTGATGTGAATGTATGCGGATGAAAAACAAAGTCCACCCTATAGTAGCAAGCTTCCGTTACTACCAAGTAATATTCAAGTAGAACTTGATGACGCCCGGAAGACGTCCTGTCCTCATCTTTTTGCGCTCAAAGTCGCTGAATACATACATAATTACTTAGAGACTCTTCTCATGTGAGACTCTACCGCCTCACATCGATTTCTTATCTCATATTAATAAGGTGAATACACGTACTTACTAGTTCTCACATGTCACATGTCCTCGAAACGAATGAGAGACCGAATGACCGTGTCTCTATAAGGTTTTTTTTTCGACGAAATCATCAAAAGTGCATTTTCACCCATGAAATCCGGGTGACAGCTTTCCATTCACTGACCTGATATGTTTGACATTTCAGAGAGAATTGGGTGAGAGAAACCCAAGGAACATCGTCATTTCTTCAATAATAGCGCTGAAAGGCCATGTCCATTATGAGAGTGTGATTTTTGATTGTCATTACCGTAATGCGAGTATGTCAAGTAACGAAGAGCTAAACAAATCAATGATATAATGAGGGGACGCGCACGACTTCCGTGATCGCTAGCTGTCTCTGGATTTCCTGACTGATTCACTCAAGAGGCAGCGGCTAAAGTGAAGCGGAGGGATTTTATGGAATTAGCTATTGACTACAGTACTCTCCCAACACCTACTTGAAGGCTTTCTGTGAATCAACGTTGCTTCTTACAGAAGGTGGTGCGTTGGGAGATGTGGTGTACCCTGGAGAGTATGATTATCCAAAATCCGATTCGTTTCTAGACGTTTCGAATCCTGATGAAGGAATTCAGGTAGGAGAATTCCAAATTTCAAGAAAAAGAAAAAATTTTCCAATTTTCACTATCTTTTCCTATCACATAGATAAATCTGCTGCACTGTTCATTACGTGGTGAATTGTGCCGCTGTTGTTATAGCGTCGCCAACGTTCGTACCACCTCCCCCCTCAAGGAATGGCTTGGTACGACCCCCCCCTTTTTTCCCTTGGTTCCCTCCGGTACGATCGAGTTGTCGAGCAACCGGGGAGGCGGAGGGTATGTAGCACACGTGAAACGGGAAAAACCCCGAGTAAAGTACGAGGCCCCCTTCCCCATCCTACCTACCACTTTCTTACGCTTCCCCAACTTCCTTCTAGTTTTTCCGGAATTTTCTGAGAATTTTCCAGTTTTTTTTTCGCAGAATTTTCTCGTCGAGCCGGGGTATATAGCACATGTGAAACGGGAAAAGCTGCGAGTAAAATATGGCGCCTCTCTTGCCCAACCTATTCATCCTTTTCAGATTCTTTCCAACTTCCTACAGTTTTTCTGGATGATTTCCTAGAACTTTCCCATCAAGTCGGGGCTAGATAGCAACTAGTGAATATGGAAAAACGCGAAATGTCAATCAAAAAAGAGAAGATTTTTCCCAACGCCGCCAATTTCGTCTCGGGAGCAAAATATACGCACCCCCCCCCGACAAAGCGCAAATGCCGACCCCCACCTCCCTTTGCTAGCATCGCGAAGCCAGGAAAAACAACTGCAAAAAAAATTTCCCCCGACCAAATACGACCCTCACCCTCTCGCTAGCGCCCAAATACCACCTCCCCCTGTTGAGGAATCCCCAACGATGATGTGCTCTGGGAGGAGGGAGGGGGGGGGGAAGGGAGGGAAAGATCCGTATACTGGCGCCACGTACTCACGCAACTTCATACACTTTGTGGTGGCCGGCTATAACTCAGGTACTGAGCCGCCGTCGACATGGAAACCACTATGAACGATTGTTTGAAAGAAGTCGCGTTACAAATTGCGCAGAACTAAACGGACAGCTCAAAGACGTGGGCGAGCAGTGCATGAGGAACCTGACAGGAGAAGGGGTGTAGAGGGATCTTGAGGATAAATGGGATGAATGACGTCGAATAACCAGAAAATGGGCTTTAGCATTGCGTCGCTCGTTTATTGCTTCATAAAGGGGTCCCGAGCAAATATTTACGTTCATTAATATATCTCCAGGATTACATCAATAAACTTTCTTCAAGTGCAGCTTTTTGATCGTTGAAATTGTTTGAAGATAGGGGTCCCGGGTGCCAGACTCATTTTCTTCAGGATTGGTATCACAAAGAAGACTTTAAAAATGATAAAGCCAGAGATGTCAGAAATTCCGAGGAGTTGGATGAGAATCTAGCTGAAATCCTACAACAACTGACACAACAAAAAGAACTACTCAAACAAGAGGACACGGGTGAGTCAGTTTTCCATGAACTTGTCAAAGTAATTGTTGTAAAGTCTTCTTTTCCTTTCCTCTACTCGATCATCTCATCACAATCTGTCATACTTTACGAAATATGTTATTCCTACCAATCTTTATTCATCTTTATATTCCATGCGAATGTCTTCTGGACGACGAATGCAGTACAGCACGCATGCGAATGTCACGCCATGCATTCGTCACTCATCAAAAATCGTGGATCAATAACTCGCTTAACGTATCTCAGACCAGTCCTTTAAATGTCCCGCGTGTCAGGTGCTTGTTAAAATCTAACTTATTCTTGAACACACGTGTCTGTTTGGTGCAGTGACTGGCCAAGAGATTTATGTACAGCTCTGATGCCAAGTAACCAACCCTACACAGGGGGGGAGAGGATTTGGTACCAAGATCCATTCCTTTGCACTCCATAACTGGAAGATGGAAAGGGCGTGGTTGCGTTCTTCATTTGAACACGGCAGGTAATCCAATTGCAGTTGTAACTAATTGTTTTGGAACCACTGCAACCATGTCTTCATGCCTGTTTACAGGGTGGCAGTTATCCCATTTAGGAACGGCCCGAGGAACGCATCTGCACTATGCTCAAGTGAGTTATGCAGCCACGCCCACTCCATCCCTGGGAGAGTGTGACTGGTGTTATTTGCCTTGATTCGTGTCCGAGTTCAGTGGACTGAGCAAAACGTCTTACCTTGGGCATAACCCGTACCCGTATTTTTTATTCCTGGCCATCATGTTTATCCTTTGCGCTACCGAAGGTCCACGCACCTTTCCTCATCTACTCAGTGGATCGTTAACGGTATCTTGTTAGGTATAGGGTGTGTCTGTCCGAATGCGGACCTTTTTAAGGTAGGGGGTACCTACAGCGAGTGGAATGCTTTAAGGTGGGTCCGAGCCCGGTTTGAAGCCGAACTTCTTGACCACAATCAGGGCACGTCGCGAGCTTCGGATTTTGGTCGAGTCCATACGACCACCTCCCTAAAAGATGGCTTGATACGGTCCACCCTCAGAATCTCCCTCATAACGCCCAAGATTTGCTTCAAGGATTACGTCCTGCGCCTGTGGTCAGGTGTTAGTTCTTTATCTCCGCCCACAGATGATTGCAAACAGTGAAATTAAAGTGGTCTGCATGTCAGCTCTCTTTTTGTTCAGCGGCTTACGGGGCATCGTCATTGATGAAGTGAGCCTTTTCTTTGGGACAGTTGGACAGCAATTAAACGACCCCATAGGGACGGAACCATTGTTATGATGGTCGCAATTTTCTCTTTTAGGAGTCGTTCAGGAATTAGGCGGCTTCAAAAAAAACAGTGCATCGCTCCTTCTCAAATTTGAAGATTAGTTCTAAGCAATAGGGACGAGGTTGCGCCAGAGGAAGAGCCCTAAGAATAATCCCGTGATTATTTTGAAGTAGGTTCAAGAAACCCGTGCACGTCCCGTTCACTGCACCACTACAGCCAATCTGCGAGTAAACGAGTTCGAAGGAAGGAGGTCTAGGGCGAAAGGCGCAAGTACTACGCTTGAAACAAGGCTTTTTGTGAGCTCGAACAATGCCCTTTCTTTGCCTCAAATTTTCCTCATAACCATTGAGCTCACCTACAAGCGCGCCTTCAATCACACTTGCACCCATGAACTTATGGGTTCATGTGATCGTCATCTGCACTTTGTTATTTATTAACTTTTTTAATTAACTTATACAGCTTTTCCCAAGGGGAAATGGGTACCGATCGGCTCAGCCCGCCAGCCTAGCGAACTTATCGTGACAATAATTACAAATGTAAAAAGTTCGAGTTATTTGTTGTGAATGGGAGCTCATTAGCGAGCATCGCCTGCGTAATGAAAATCACACGGGAATAGCTCCCACTGGGAAAATCGTCTAAAAATGGAACTATCATATTGTTCTGAAGTGATAGAAAACATATTATGATTTGGCGTTAGTCATTTTGATTGCTTCCATGGTTTCTACCCGTATGGAGGGATCCCGACAAATACCGTTTCCAAACTTTTCAATTTCAAGGTTACATATTACAGGCGCAGCCTAGGCATTCAGTTCCTCAAAGGCAGTGGGGACGATGCCGGGGGCGTGCGGTTGCTGCCAACGTCATTGGTCCAAGGGCTGCGGAAAAGGCGTTCAATCACACCCCTTTCGGCCCTTCCACCAATGACGTTGGCAGCAACCGCCTGCTCCCAGCCATCGTGTTCGCTATCTTGATTTCTGCATTTGAAAGCTACCGAAGTGATTAGTAAATGGAAGTTTTGACATAGTACATAACATCGCAGTCAATCGGGGCGGTGTCAAAAGGGGCGGAGGGAGCCCGCCCTTGTCTACTTCGCTTTACCAGTAGTGATCCGCTAGCGATTGATTCAGAAAGGGAACAACCAGTGGTGGAAGCTTTGCGGGTGGGTTCATTCCATCCCTCTTGGCACCGCCCCGACTGATTGCGATGATATCAACTACCACATATGCAGTAATGTTGCAAATTGGACTGTAACAACTGTAACTGTCCTAAGCGATCACTGTGAACTATCAGTGAATTTCATTGCTTTCAGTGGTGCCTCCCGCAGTTGAGATCGAACTGAAAAACACAAAGGAACAACCAAATGAGAAGAGAAAGGTGACAGGAACAGAAAAAGCCGAGCCTCAAGCAGATGTTGTGGAGAAGCAACCCCTGGTGGCTCAGAAGAAAGGGCAAAACGAATTTGTGTCATTCGTTGAACCGGTCGAATCTAAGCAAACCCAGTAAGTTTGGGCAAATGCTGCCACAAGCAATTTTCGTCCTGTCATTTTTTTTCGGTTAATGTGCTAATCAGCGACAGAAACTGGATGGAGTTCGCACGTTGTAGGAGCTGACAGCCATGTACGAAAAGAATTTTGCCAAACATGAACACAAGTAGGGCAGTAATAACTTGGTAATATAATATTTACATTTAGGTCCATTGCCACCATGGAAAAGCGTCGTCTCGCTGGTTCGTCCGAATTCTCACATTCTCTGCCCACTTTCGGCAGTAATCTTCTGGTGATTGGTGAGTGTGGGGTTTACTGTAATTGAAAAAGAGTAAACTTACTTCTCCGCAAAGTACAAAAAGGTTGAAGTGCTCGGCGTTGGTTAATCCTCTTTGGGATTCGAGGTGCGATGAGTTTCACGGAAAGCGGAGCGATATTGAAAATCAGGAAAGCACTATCTATGCAGAAACAATATGTGATGAGATCAGCATATCCCCTCAAATGACCTTTGATTCCAATTAGCCTACCCTGGGGAGAAGATAGGCGTGGGCGATCTTAGCGGGATTAATTCTGAGGTTTGATCCAAAAAACACACGTCTAGTGGTTTATTTATTCATTTATGCGCTCAGAGCCGGAGTCGGGTACCACATGACATGAATTCGCAACGAAATTCCTCAGCTGGAGACCGAAACAACAAAACAAGCATATAAGAAAAATTGGGCGCAGAAATCAAATTAGGTGGGCCTGTCGCGCTAAATGAAGACGGGAAGACCCGAAATGAGTAAGAAGGACACATGAGTCGAGGAAACACCGAGATGGTCAGAAAAGAGGCATTTTCCGATTGAAAGGTAAAAAGGCGAAGAAAAAGCAATCTAGGATCTCGCAAGCCTAAAAATGCTTCATGAAGGGCTAATGAATGCTCTGGGGAAGGAATAGCTGGTCTCAGGGCCTTTGCGCCATAAATGGTCACGAAGGTGCACCGAAACTTCTGGACACGTGTGTGATGGTCTACGGACAATTTGAACACGATACCGTCAACCGTGTCAATTTCCTGTTTTCCTGCGCCCTCCAGGGCACATCATTGGTTGAGGATTTTGGTCAATCCGTACGACCCCCCCCCCTTTAAGGGGTGGCTTGATACGACCCCTCACCTAGTTCCTTCATCACACACGATCAAGCTGTCGAGGGGGGACATGAAAAATCAACTATCAAGAAATTTTCCCTAGATTCAATACGATCCTCCCCTCCCCCCTAGCGACTAAATACCATCCCCCTTTAGAATTTCTGCGCCCACTCCTCTACATAGCGTTCTATAATCATGATAAGTGACACACCTACCGCGGAGTCCTTCCTCTGGAGAAGCCCTTTCCTTGACTCGCCACATTTTTTTTGCAGAACATGGCTTCGCAATAAAAGTTCAAATAGTCAAGGGACCCGCATGGAAGAGCGACCCGCGCGGAGCTGGGCGACTGGACATACCGTACCACTCCAACCCAATGAATCAGAGTATAGGGATTCATCGACGCAGCTCGGCGAAGGGGGGGGGGAAGGGAATTTTTCATCTTTGCTGCTTCCCGTCGTTGTCGCGTTCATTGCTTTACAAGAGTTGACGGGTATTCTTTACAAGAGATGAGG